GTGGGGGAAGGAGCAATGCCACGCTGCAGACCTTCGGAGAGGTGGCTTGGGTACTGGAGCTGCAGAAGCCGCCATACCACGCAGTGGCCTGGGTGTGGTGGGATGTGTCCCGAGCCCAAGATGTGGGGACAATAGCCTTAACCAGCTGCTACCATGCCCAGCTGTGGAGTGTCCCCACCACGCTCACCCCAGCTCGCCTTCGAGCACATCCCTCTGCAGGCAGGCAGCCTGTTGCCGTGGAAACCCATCCAGCAGGGCTGCCTGCTGCCGAGCCTGGGCGAGGGGCTGCAGCACCCTGCCCACAGGCAGCGGTCCCCACGGCACACCCCTTTGCAGCACAGCTACCGGAGCAGGGGGCCCGTGTCCTGGGCCAAATCTGGACTCATCTTTCTCATCACCTTGCTGGCCAGCAGGAGCTGCTATTGGCAGGGCCACCGAGGGATGCAGGGGTCCCACGGGGATCCCGAAGCAAGGCATGGATGCAGGTGGCCATGGAGGATGTTTTGGGTAATGGTGGAGCTGCACAGCTAGCAGAAGTGAGGGCGTGGGCTTTGCTGTTGGAGAGGGACAGAGCGGTCCATCAGGGCTGGTCCTTCCTGTCATCCAGGCAGGCAGGTCCTTCCTGCAGTCCCTGCTCCTGGAGGTGGGGTGTCCCATCATGCTTTCTGTTTCTACCCCAACATTTATAGGGGAAAAGCAAAAAATAAAGTCTGGTCTGAGGGTAAACTAAAGGTTAAGGAGGCAGAGAGAAAGATGTCAGAATGAAACCTGTTGTAATTTTTTTTTTTTTTTAAGACCCCCCTGGTGATGCTGTGGAGCGGGGCTGTGGTGTATAGAGAGGCAGCAATGCTGAAAGTGTGCTCGGTCACTCCTGAGACCTTCCCTTCGTGGGAAGGGAAGATGTGGGTGACATTGGTACCCACACCTCTGCTATTTCCAGACAGCAGCGGTAGGAAGCTGTATCCCCAAATCGGAGATAGTGTGACTCCACAGTGAGACAGACTGCAGGTGCTGTGGGCTGGAGTGGCAGTGGCTCTCAGATCTTTAGTTTGCTGAGAGCTGTTCCAGGACATCTCCAGCCTGTTTCACTTGCAGCCTACCAAGAAGTGGTCGGTCACCCACTCTGGTTCGGCTGGTTGGACTGGCCTGAAAGCACCTAGCCTGGCCAGGGAACTTCTGGAGCTGGGTGCCAGGAGCCCTCCAGCATCTTCCCCCTCTTCTGGGGAGGGCTTTCTGCTGACTCCAGGCTTCGGCAGCAGTCCCGGCGCTGGCTTCTGTGAGCGTGAGCTCAGTGCTGCAGTGGCTGCCACAGGCCGGCTCCCCTTCATGGGGCCACTTGATTAGCAAATGTCTGAGCAGAGCAGGGAGAAGCCAGAGGGTCCTCTGAGGACGAATCCCTGCTGCTTCTCCCGTGGGCAGTCTGGTCCCTGATAACCCCCTGCGAGGACAGGAGCATCCTCAGCCACCCCAGCAGGGCAAGCAGGCTGGGCATCGCATGGTGTGGGATGTTCAGCATATGAGGGCAAGTGAGAGGAGCTAGAGGGGACCTGGGACCCCTGCCCTGGGCTTGGAGGCTGTGCTGCCAGCCTGGCCAGCACCCTCAGGCATCGCTGCTCCTTGCTGCACCACTCAGGGTTTTCCTCACTTGGTGCCACCACAGCGGAGTCACGATGAGCATAGGGTGTTCTGCTGCTGCGTGTCTGCGGGGACGGACAGAGAGCAGCTCTGCAGGACATGGCAGGCGTGCCCGGGGGG